GAAGTCGCCGCCGCCGGCTTCGGCTTCGCCGCCAGCTTCGCCACCTTCGTCTTCGCCGCCGACTTCGCCTTCGCTGTGGCTTTGGGCTTGGGGCTCTTCTCTTTCGGCTTGCCGGTGGCTTTGGGCTTCGAAGCACCCTTCTTTTGGCCACAGCCACAGACACCGGCGGCATGAAAGCCATGGCATTTTTGAGGATGTCCAAGTCGCACTCATCCGTGGAAGAGATCACTTCCACATCCTTGGCCGGCTCAGCCCCGGCACCAGTCTTGATCTTTGCCTTTCCTGCCTTTTTGTTCTTTGCCTTTGTGGCCTTCTTCTTCAGGGTGCCCTTCTTCATAACGATCTTCTTCGGCTTGCTGCTCTTATGGATGTGCACAAACTTCTCCGCAAACTTCTTCGGCTCGCTGCTCTTCAAGGTGTCCGGAAACTTGGTCGGGCTGCTGTTCTTAAAGATTTCCGGCAACTCCGGGAACTCAACATCCTGCAAAGGAGTAAGCTTCTCGTCACCACGAAAAGGAACAGGCTTCTCATCCTCGTTCACGGGAACAAGGGCCGTGCTGGGGGAATCAAGAGGCTTCGGGGCAAACTCCTGCACCTGCACCCTTTCCAGGCAAAGGTCAAGCTTCCTGATTGTATGTTTCCACAGACTTATAGGTAAAAAAAAGTTTGCAACACTTCTTTGTTCCGTCACACGAATTATATATACAGCGAAAAAACACGAAAAACATATATGTGCAGCCACTGCACACTTGATCCTCGTGCGACAGGGACCTGTAGACTTTCCGCTTGAAGCTCTCCTTCTGCTTCATCGCACGGAGGTGGCTAAGAAGAAGACGGATGGCGGTGTCCATCTTGTCCACAAGGTCCTCTGCCTTGTAGTCTTTGTGGCCTTCGAGCAGCAGGTTCTTTTGCTCGTGAAGGATCCAAAAGCTTCGGGTAACCCGCTGCGACAACAACTTCGTGTTCGGGGCGAGGCGAAGAAGGTCAAACAGCAGCCCAGCTGTCTTTGCCAACCACGGACCGTGGGCGGCAGTGTGCCAAGTGTAGCTTATTGGCCCGCCCGGAGGGGGGCACAGTAAAGGCCACAGGTCCTTCGTCTTCTTGAACTCGAGAAAGCCAAACACCACATCCGCCAGCTCCTTTGCTGTAATAAGCGGATCGGCAACCACTCGGTCCTTGGCATTTTTGCCCGTTGCAGCGGAAGCGCCGTCCGCCAGCTTGACCGAAGCTGCAGCTGCTAAGGAAGCCATGCTCGCAAGACTGTATATACTGTGTATGTATAGGATTTATGATTTCTCAAAAAAATGGAATGCATTTGTCTCTGTCTCCATCCAGCCTCGCACTTACCTCTGGGTCTCGTCTGGACCAAACACACAGCTGCAACGTCCGAAAATTTTTCTCACTCTCGGATCTCAGAAAAGTATATATATATATATATATATATATAAGTAGATCTCTCGCATGTAACCTACAAGAGTCTCGCACAGGTAAAGGTGGACTCCTCGCAGGTATAAACTATATTGTGATGACTCTCGCAAATGTACATGTACCGATTTCTCGCATGTAAAAAGCACACATCGCAAGCAATCCGCCGGCTCGACCCAGCACAGAATCAAACCGAGCTGCGATTTCAACATGGAAAACCATGGCTTAACAAGTATGCTTGCAACACAATTCTCATAATTTTATCTTCACACCTGACCATGCCGCACTGTACAGTCGCAGGAAAATCTCATGCAATCAACAAGCAGAACCATGATAAAAGAAACAAAACCAACCAAAATTAGCTTGCATTTCACTTCTTCAAATTCGGGAATGTGTAACCTAAAAACATGTATTTTGCAGTGTAAAAAAATTTACATTGCAGTGTAAATTTTTTACTATACAAAGTAAATTAATTTACACTTTTTTTTACGTAAATTTTTTCGTAAATTTGAAGTGTAAACCAAGCTTTGTTTAGTAAATTGCTCGCCACCTAAAATTAGGTAAACAGCAGGGTTAGGGCAAGGTGGCATCCACTTTTCGGCAACGCCTCCGGCGTCATCTTCGCAGGTGGCTCTCGCCAGAATGGAAATCCCTGGAAGAAGCGTTGCGCAGCTTCCGCGTCCTCTGTCAGCCCGTTGTGCTTGACGACGCGAGCCTGCGTGCGGAACTGACGGTGGCGGCGGATGCCTTGGTTCGCTCCGGCAGTGCGCTCAAACAGCAGGGAGCGGACAGACAGCTTCTCTTGCGCGGGGCATGACAAAACACAGTCGTCTTAGTCTTGCTTCCGACTAGCCTGTCTTTAGACGACAAGCATATGCATCCAGCTGGAACCGGTCACTGCAGCTGGGCTTCAGGGTAGTTCTTTCCCTTCTCTTCTGACGGTTTGATCCTTAAGCCCTCGGGCCGGAGGTGATGCCGTTTGCGTTAGGCCAGATCTTCGGATCTAGGTCGTCCTTCCACTCCACTCCACTTAAGAGCCTAGAGCGGGGCCTGGGGCAGTGTTACTGCGCGGCTTAAGCAGTACACGTATGGCCCACAGCTCGGCATCAATTTGCGGGCAGGTTTCCCAGCGGTTTTGCTGAAGCCGTTTCCTCTGGGAGCCTGCGGCAGTTTCCTGCGCGGCGTCTCTGCTGGACGCCCGCCGTCTTAAAGCCTGCGGATGGCTAGGCCCATCTGCCCCTCGTGCCTGCTGGCACTTGTGTGCGTCACTCCCGTGCTGTCACCCCGTGCGGCCGGCACGCGGACCTTAATTGGTCGCGGCCCGCCTGCTGAGTCAGGCCGCCGTGGCTAATAGTCGGCCCTTCCTGGGTCGCTGGACACTTTTGTGTCGCGCCAGCTGGCGCTCGTGTTCGGCACAGCCGTGCCGTCCCTTGCAGAAGCTGGCGTGCAGACCTTGTTCGGTCGCAGCCACGCGCCGTAGGTGCGCGCAGCTCGCGGCCCTTGTTCGGGCGCGGCCGCCTGCCCACAGGGGCTTTAGCTGGCAGGTCTGTGCCACGTAGCTTCTGAGCGGTAGGTAGCCGTAGCCGTAGCTTAGTGTACCTTAGTTGTACAGTAGCAGCTTGACTGCAGAGACGCTCTCCGGAGCCTCAACTCCAGCATCAAAAGTTTGGCCCGCGCGAGCTTGCAGCTCAGGGTCTGGTTTAGGAGGGTCGGCTAGTGGGTTCGTGCGTCGTGCGGTCGTCGTTGTCAGGGCTGCGCCCTACCGCCTGCGACGCGGCCCACCCCTCCTGGCACTGGTGTGAGTGCACATACGTGTATCAGTGCACATGTCTCTGCAGGCTGCTTTGTAGCTTTGTTGCATGTTGTGTCTAATTTGAAGTTTTATGCCAAACAAATGTTTTTGGCTCAAGTGCTTTGCTTCTAAGCAGTGCCAAGTGTGCACGGCTGTAGTGAGTTAAAGTAGCTTCGCGCCACGCGGAGTTGCTACTCGCGACGGCTTGCGCTTTTTGCAAGCTTAGGGACTGTGAGCGTGCGAGTGGACTCGCGAAGCAAAAGACAGCTGCCGCTCCGTGTTTGCTCTTTTGCAAGACCGGTTTGCGGTGCTTCACAAGCAGTATTGAGCAGTAGTAGTAGTAGTAGTAGTAGTAGTAGTAGTAGTAGTAGTAGTAGTAGTAGTGTGGCAGTGGTAGTATTCGTATCAATAGTATCAGCAGTATCAGTAGCAGTAGTAACTAGTAGTAGTAGTAGTAGTAGTAGTAGTAGTAGTAGTAGTAGTACTTGTTGTTGTTGTAGTTGTAGTCGTAGTTGTAGTTGTAGTTGTTGTCGTCGTAGTAGTAGTAGCAGTAAGTAGTAGAGTAGTAGTGGTACTGGTAGTGGTCGTGGTGGTGGTGGTGGTGGTAGTGGCAGTGGTCAGAGGTAGAAGCAGTTGCTGCAGTCACAATCGCAGGTGCTGTTTGAACGGCAACCCTAGCCGAGCCAGCTTGTACAACTAGAGTTCAGCGACTCAGCAAACTTGACGGCTGAATCTAGGTCGCCCAGTGCTCCCAAAGATCCACGAAGGCAGCCTCGGTTTGCTCCAGTGCACCGTGTTCGACAGCTGCTACTGCCAGTTGAAAGGCTAGGCTTTGCAGATACACTGCGATGATCACCTGCACTGAGAGTGGTTCATGAAATAGAGCAGGAACCGCACTGTAGCCGTGGTCGAACGCTAGCCGTTTCTCTTACAAGTCTTCACTCGTGTTTCTGGCCGTGCTACAGCTTCGAATTAAAATGCATTTCATGCTAGCGAAGCTAGCTAACATGCACAATGCATGCAGGCTCCTTCGGAGCAAGTCTGGCAACAGCGTGTTTTCGGCTGCAGCGGCTCGTTGTGGCTGCCTTCATTGCAGTCGTCGCCTCTACCGCTGCGCTACTGCCAAAAAAGTCCATGTGTCAGTGATGTGGCAACTCGTTCTGCTTTTCTAGAGCTGTGAAGCTGAGCAATTCAACAGCTGTTTATAACAACTCTGCATTTGTTTTGGAATCTTCTGAACTAGTCCAACCCACCTACGGCAGCTACGGTGATGCAGTGACCTTCGCGGCTGCGCTCTTTTTGACACTGATGCAGCAGTTCTATTCGCATGAAACATTGAGCTCGTGAGCGCGATCTGCCCCAACCCAATTGATAGTTGAGCTGTTGCAACAACTATCTAAAATGCTGCGTCGTAATCGATGCGGCAAACCCATCAACTCGAGCACTGATGAGCACTGTTCACCTGGACCCCCACCCTCAAAGAAAGCGGACCATTAGCTTTGTTGCAACTGTTGCAAGTTTTCTGCCGCGGCTTGCAGCCCAGAGTTTGGCGGTCTCATGACAGCGTAAGAGCACAGATGGACATGCCGCCTTGTGGTGCCACATGCGCCGAGTCATCCCCCATCTAGATTTTCACACAATGTCGCAATAGCAGCAGGCCAGAACACCGGAGGCAGAACAAAGCTCAACAGGGCGTGTTGGAATTGAGATGGTCGGACAGAAGGACTGCCTGCGATCCAACACTCATCTACAACAAGCCGCGACATCTGAGTTGTTTGATCAGGAGGAATCTGCAGCAAAAGACACCGATGAGGACAATCGGCTTCCTGTTTGCACTGAATGAGGCAATCTGCAGAAACTTGCATTTTCCCAGTGACATTTCCAATTCTAAGGGTCTTGTTTGGTTTGCGTTCGGTGAGCACGGTGCATATGTGCCGACTTGGAAGATCCTTTGGTCTTCGTTGACTCGTGCGTAGGAGGAGCATCAAGATTCCTCGTCTTCCTCGAGCTCCGATGTCGATGACTTCGGGTGCCGCCGTGCAGTCATGTGCTGTCTTGCTGCCCTGGAGAGGGTGTTCACGTTAAGGATTTTGAGCATTTGAGCATTGTCTTTGAAGGTTTCTTTTGGTCGATTCGCAAATTTAGAGCTGTTTGAAGTGCTTGTGTGCTGGGGCCGGGGCGAGTCTGCGGAGTAAGGGGTTAAACAAGGGAAAGGTTTTCTTTTGCTTTCCTTCCACACCGGACCGCACCGAAGTGTCTACACGCACGCCAATGCTCCAGGAAGTCTGAAGCCGAGGAAGTGGGCTGGGCGCTCGGATGAGCTGAGCTCCTGCGCGTGCACACCCGTCGCCTAGTGGTGCAGAAGTCGAACAGCTCCTCAGATGATTTGGAGCTTGTATCGGCTAAGGACCACCGCCGGCAAACATGTCGAGGCACCTCGGAAAGACACTCCACAACAACCCGTGACTCGGAAGTTGACCAAAGCATCAAGTCTAAATCTAAAGGAGTCATTAGCCATCCATCTCAAGAGCACCTACCCAAGTGCATCTCGTCTCCCAGCTGACGTTGAGATTCTGCTTCATCTTTTTGCCGTGGGTCGAGCGGACAGGATTACACGGAGCTTCTCATAAATACTGATGCTTGTGTTAGGTGACATGCATGTCACATCATGTCACAATATCTTGGAACTCATTGCTCATATGTCCCTAATGCCCTTGCAACTCGGTTCCTAACGAGAATCAGGTGTCATCATCCACGCTGGGTGGTTCAGACTTGATCTCAACCGTGTACACGGCGACTTGAGCAGTAGTCTATTGAACCAACTCAGAGGTGCGTAGGTCTCGCGCCAATACTGAGCTACAACTATTGCAAGTCCACAACTTTGCACACCGTTCCCTGACCCGCTCCAAACATCATGCTACACTCGCCGCGTGAAGTAATCCAGGTCTCGTTTGGCCCCTGTGCGGATCATCCAAACAACAGACTATGCGCTTACAGCAAACAGTGGTTTGTTCAGATCTGCATGCTGCGACTCAAACTCCTCCTCCTCCTCCTCCTCCGAAGGCGGCGAATATCAACCGACGTGAACATGGAATTGCTCCGCAAAACCTTGGTGCAAGCCTGAGGAATTGGGAAGTTACAGTCCTCAGATGTAAATCTTCATTGTGCGACATGCACCTGAGGAAGAGAAGGCCAAAAGAAGGCAGGAGGCTGAAGAGAAGAAGCAAAAGGTGCACCCCGACACGTCATGGTGAGGGTATTATTTCTGCTTCTCGATCTCGTCAGGCTCGATTCCGACGAGCGGTTGCCAACTTTGCCATCCCATCGAGATTTAGAGTTTTGCAACACTTCAGGAAAGACTGTCATGCTTGCTGATTGAATTTTGAAATTCCTTGCCAGATGGATGGTCCCTACATGACTTTGATTTCAGTGTGCTTGACTTTTTGGGCCCTTCTTGGGGACGACATCCGCATCCTCACCACAAACCGACCCGCTGACATCGGGTGTGGCCCTCAGCCTGTTCGTCATTGATGCTGCAGATGTTGCCATATCGTGTGCACAAGAACATACCCCTTCTCTGCTCGGCTCACTGATACCAACTGCATGTTGCTGCTTTGCCGTGGAGGTTCAAGAAGCTGTTTGCTTCTCTGCATGCAAGATACAAGTCGCTGTCTGTTTTCCTGTTCAGCATAGTTCCATGACGCGGGTCAAAGTCCAGCCACTTGCACATTCCATTCGGTTTACTATGTCGGAGCGGCGGCAGAGTATCAGACGCACTGTGACCCACAAGCGGCACTGGCTCGTGGGTCAAGTTTTAGCGTGCATTGCATTGGCAGGTATGCTTGGACGATGTCAGAGACAGAATTGATGTCCAAGGGCTCTGCCAGGTCAGGATGCGTGGGGGAACTCTGTGTCAAGCATGAGTGGCAGTACCACCATTTTGCATTTTGCAGGTCGAGCTAGCGGCTGCTATAAGGGCCCTTGCCTTCGAGCTACGGGGGCGGTGCCCCACTCAGTCCATTAGGGCTGTAGAATTTAAGATCTCCCTCCTGCATGGGTCACTGGAAGGCTGGGCATTTGGGCACCCCAGGCATCTGATGAGGCAGGGATTATGCTTTGAGCATCTCCGCACCAAGAGGTAGACCATGCACAGGTGTTGGCCAGAGTGGAAGACAGGCTGAAGCACAACGTCGTCGTGCAGGCCTCGAGCTTCACAAAGCCTCGTCGAAGAGCCGCATCATGTCTGGCCTGTAGTGCCAGTAGTGAGAACCGCGTGGCATCGTGCTGCAGTTTGTTGAGCAAACACTCCGGTCTGTGAGCTGTGCGGCCCCACGTGCAAAACGAGGATGGGCCGGAAGAAGCTGGGCAAGGCCGCGTAAAGCCGGCTATTGGATATTGCCATATCTTCGTTAAGCTCAGCAGACTTCCGCAGCAGTTCGCGCCTTTCTGTCGTTGCTCAGCATAAGACTGCTAAAAATATGCAGCGTCACGGAAGTAAATCGCTGCAATAGTGTACTAGCAGCTTGCACTGCAAAGCGAGAGCCTTCGCGGTACAGCTGACTACACGTGCTGAACACAATTCTGCTTCAGTGTTTGTGCTTAGGTTGGCGAATGCAGCACGAGAGAGAGAGAGAGAGAGAGAGAGAGAGAGAGAGAGATCGCCTACGACTCAAACCCCGGAGCAAAGCAAAGAGAGAAAGATCGCCTCTTTCACACTGGGGCGATTTTCACCTTGCAGACTGACCAGTGCGTGCCCGCGCGCGGGAGGGGATGCTGTCCCTTCCTTGGCTGTGTGCAAGCAAGAGAAAGATCGAGTCCCCACCATCTGTGCCACCACAGTCACAACAAATGAGGGTTGTTGTTAAGGTCCGTGTCAACGGTTTATACAAAGCCGGTCATGTGACAGGGTTTCAAGGGTCCGCCAAAGACCCACTGGAAGCAGCTGCCATTGCTACATCAACACGCGAGAGCACACTACAAGATTCAAACATGTCCTTCTCTGGAGTTCATATCTGTACACGTAATATAAGCGTCAAGGGGTTGTCGTTGTAGTGAGTGGGCATGGTTTGTAAGTTTGGGCTCGGGATCAAGGATTTTTCAGTGGATTGCGCGAAGGTTCCTCAAAAGCTCAGACGTGTCTTGAAGGCAGTAGGCTCAGGCTCAGCAGGCCTGTGCAGCTGCCGGACCACAAATTGCATGAGCTCTGTCACGAGGAGCTCGGACTCAGAGACAAAAACAGAAAGTCATGAGGATAGTCCGAAAACAGGTTTTTCAATCGATGCCGGAGGCTGCTCGTATAGAACATGGCGATAGAAACAAAGGCTTCGTTTCGAGGCTGGTTGGTGCAGGGTACTCTTGTGCCTGAAGCTCGAGACCATGCGTGTCTGTGTGAATGTACGTATGTACTTACAGCATGTAAGCAGCTTAAGCATGTACTTATGTGGGTGGTTGTCAAAATTGTGGTCCCTTTTTTGGGTCCTTAGTATAGTACGGCACCTAATATTTAGGGTACCCAAAAGGGACCCTAATCTTGACAACCACCCATGTAAATACATATATACATAGCCGCAAATAAGCTCTGCGAAAGCTCCGCTCAGACATTTACTATATGGCACACATGCTGCTGTCGCCGGGCATATTCCTAACATTTCCCCTTTTGTCACTGACGTATTGCTTCAGGTTGTTTTGGGTTAGGCTTTATGGCCTTCACGTGCTGCATGTTCTGTCTTTCCTGTAAGTAAAGCGTTCTTAATTCAGCAGTAATCTACTATCCAGCACTCGCAATGCCATTCAAACGGCACATGTCATGGGTGTGCCATACTGGTCTTGAACTTTGCGCGTGCAACTACAGTAGTACTGCTTGTACTACACCAACGACGATGACGACTACTGCTACAACAACTCCTACAACAACGATGCAGCAGCAGGAGCCGGAGCTTGAGGAAGGAGCACTAGTAGCAGTAGCAGGAACAGTACTAGTGGTAAGTAGTGGTGCTAGTAGTGGTATTAGCAGCAGCAGCAGTAGGAGTAGGAGTAGGAGTAGGAGTAGGAGTAGGAGCAGGAGCAGGAGTAGGAGTAGGAGTAGGAGTAGCAGTAGTAGTAGTAGTAGTAGTAGTAGTAGTAGTAGTAGTAGCAGAAGTAGTAGTAGTAGTCGTCGTGGTAGTAGTAGTAGTAGTGGTGGTGGTAGTAGTAGTAGTAGCAGTAGCAGTAGTAGTAGTAGTAGTAGTAGTAGTAGTAGTAGTAGTAGTGGTGTCAGTAGTAGTAGTAGTAGTAGTAGTAGTAGTAGTAGTAGTAGTAGTAGTTGTATCATTATGTAGTAGTAGTAGTAGCAGTAGTAGCAGTAGTAGTAGTAGTAGTGATGGTTGTGGTAGTAGCAGTGGGAGTAGTATCGGCAGTCGTAGTGGTAGTAGTAATCGTAGCAGACGTAGTAGTAGTAGTAGTAGTAGTAGTAGTAGTAGCAGCAGCGCTCATAGTTTTCGTAGTAGTAGTAGTCGTCGTCGTCGTAGTAGATGTAGTAGTAGTAGTAGTAGTAGTAGTAGTAGTAGTAGTAGTAGTAGCAGGAGTAGCAGTAGGAGTAGTAGGAGTAGTAGGAGTGGTAGGGGTAGTAGTAGTAATAGTAGTAGTAGTAGTAGTAGTAGTAGTAGCAGGAGTAGTAGTAGTAACGCATCCGCCCCCGGTGCGACGCCCAGACCTCTTTTTTGGGGGACTTGCTGTGGTCGGAAGTGCTGTGTTTTACAGCACTTTCTTTCCGCAGTTATCGAAAGTGGCAACTGTTCCTGGTTTCGTGTGTATTTTTATCATGTTTTCTAACCTTGTTCATCAATCTCGCACCTGAAAATGCTGGTATTTACAGCACTTGTCTTTGCGAAATTCATGACTTTTTACTGTTTTTGGGTGTCTCGATTTTCGTGCCCAAAACCTAGCGATAGCAGAATCAAGGTTTTTTGGGTCTCGTTTTGATCATGATGTTCATCCAAATCGTTGGTTTGGAGAGCATCCATGTCCAAAACCTAATGACGTCCATGGTCTAGCGCATTTTGGTTTGGAGAGCATCCATGTCCAAAACCTAATGACGTCCATGGTCTAGCGCATTTTGGTTTAGAGAGCGTCCATGTCCAAAACCTATAATGACGTCCATGGTCTAGCGCATTTTGGTTTGGAGAGCATCCATATACAAAACCTAATGGCGTCCATGGTCTAGCGCATTTTGGTTTGGAGAGCATCCATGTCCAAAACCTAATGACGTCCATGGTCTAGCGCATTTTGGTTTGGAGAGCATCCATGTCCAAAACCTAGTGACGTCCATGGTCTATATAGCTCATTTTGGTTTGGAGAGCATCCATGTCCAAAACCTATAATGACGTCCATGGTCCAGCGCATTTTGGTTTGGAGAGCATCCATGTCCAAAACCTATAGACGTCCGTGGTCTAGCGCATTTTGGTTTGGAGAGCATCCATGTCCAAAACCTAATGACGTCCATGGTCTAGCGCATTTTGGTTTAGAGAGCGTCCATGTCCAAAACCTATAATGACGTCCATGGTCTAGCGCATTTTGGTTTGGAGAGCATCCATGTCCAAAACCTAATGATGTCCATGGTCTAGCGCATTTTGGTTTGGAGAGCATCCATGTCCAAAACCTTTCGAAATGTTGCTTCTTTGCATCGCACCGAGCGGGGATGGTAGTTTCCACTACTCTTCAACAGCTTACTCTGTGGTTCAGTAGTTCAAAAACGAGTATATGCGCAAGAACCGCACATCAGCAGCATCCAGCATTATCATGTTCATCATCACATTCTGCTCCAAGTAAGCGGGTGCAAACTTGGCCAAATGAGCATTCTCCGGCTTCTCGGTCGTCGGTCCATCGTAGAAAGGACACTTCGAACTGTTTTTTCTATGTCCCACTTGCTGACATTTACTGCAGCGGTGTGGACGATCCTTGTCCTTGCTACGCCACATCTTGGACCGCGACAGCTTTGATGGAATATGTTGTACATCCACGAACTCAGCGACCGGCGTCGCACCAGGGGTGATGAGGTAGTAGTAGTAGTAGTAGTAGTAGTAGTAGTAGTAGTAGTAGTAGTAGTAGAAGTAGTAGTAGAAGTAGAAGTAGAAGTAGAAGTAGAAGTAGAAGTAGAAGTAGAAGTAGAAGTAGAAGTAGAAGTAGAAGTAGAAGTAGAAGTAGAAGTAGCAGTAGCAGCCTGTGCACATCATTGCAGACACCCGATCATCATCTCCCTTTGCTGCAGTGGGGTTGATGTCTGCAGAGTTTGCAGTGCTGCGAGTGCCAGCGGGCTTGGCCCATTGGCATTGCAAATCTGTCGGAAGTGGATGTGAAGCACCGTCCTGCAGCAGTCGCGACAGGGGATTCGAAGTCGCCGGCCATGTCAGTGGGACCTTGCGCAGATGTTCCGTGACGGGCTGAGGTCACATGATGTTGCTAAGCTGCATCATGGTTTCACATCGCGATATGTGCCACTGATTAGTCACTGTTCTCTCTGTGTATATGTCTGATTGTTCTGTCATTGCAATCGCGACTCCTGCATGCACTGCATGCTCTTGTCAGGTCTCCAACATTCGACGAGATTTCAGAAAGCGACGTGGCAGAGGCAAGAGTCGAGACACTGACTAGCTAAGATTGCCAACGCTGCGAGCATTGGCAGCTGCAGTGAATCTGACATTCCATCGAAGGTGCCCCACCTGACTGACCCGCTGGCATCAGCAAAATTTGCGATGCACGCAGAGGCTTATCACATACTTTTGAGCTACGTTGGCGTTGACACATTGATCTTCCTAACCTTTGTTGCTAGGTTGCGGCGTTTCAGCGCCAGTCGGAGAGGACCGAGCTGCTCCGACGCCAGGCTGATTGATGAATCAGGAGAGCTTTGGCGGGGAATGGCAGGTACCACAAGAGCTCATGCTGTTACTACCTGATTGCAGAAATGCAGGTGGCTGCGCTCGACAGAAAGTTCGAAACTGCAAGCACTGATTTCCAACGGCTGGCAGAGGCGATGCAGCATGCCTGTGACGTGCGGTGCTTTCACGGCTTGGCGGCGGCAGTGCTTCGCAATACATGTCGTGTAGAATAGGAGGCCGCTGCACTGGCCGCCTACAAGCTGGAAGCCTCGTTTCGCAGAGTGCTTAGCTCTCATGCTCGCCCATCGAGGTTGTTACATGTCTAGGCATCAAACCCCAGTGCTTTTCCGACAGGAACCAAAACACTGACATGACAATCATGACATCCTCAGTGTGTTGTGTGTTTGAGTAGGCAGCACTGTGTAGGCGTGCGTACGTATATGAGCGTGTTTATTTTATGTAGATATATGTATATCTATATGTGCTTGCTGTGTATGTACTCACATGGGACATGCCACACGCAGACATGAACAAGTTCAATGATAACCAGATACGCATGGATATGTAAGCGTCAACAGTCAAACAGACGAAGACATCAGCATGCGTCACCACATATACACACACAAAGTCGCATAAACTTCACGTTGGTTGGTGTACATGCATAAGTACTTGTGAACCAGTGTGTGTGTATACCTCTGTACACAACACACGCATGTGAGCGTAAGTATGTATGTACATGTACAAATGCGCAAACGCACATATACGTAAACGTATATGTGTCGTGCAACATAAAAGAATAGGCCATAGCGTAACATAGGCTAAGACAAAATCGTAAAACGGAACCTAGTATAGTATAGCAGAGTATAGTATAGTATAGTGTAATGTACTGCCATGTAACGCAATATGTTTATGATCTTCTTATGCAGCTCTACGTATGTATATGTATACCGATATGTGCAAGGTACAGAGCAGCTGGACTGGAAGAAAGAGCTGCAAGCATCTCTGGACACAGCAACTCGGCGAAGCTCCGAGAGTCCCTGCCACTTTCCTGTTGTGAGAGGCAGAGCTCGCCGCACGCATTCCAAGGTACTGGAGCAAAGAGAACACATGGCATCCATGGCACGTCACCTCCCAAACAAAGAGCACACGCTTCGGCTGTTGCCATGTGGGGCGAACATGCTTCAAATTGAGGTGAAGCTGTAGAAGCTCGCTTTCAACAAGAGTTAGCGAAGCAGTTCAAGGCGTGTTGAGGAGGTTGCACGTGTTCTGTCAGCAGCTTGCATGTAGGCATCGGATGAAAACCTCAGCTCCCTCCGGAAAAACATGGATGCAGAATTTGAGAATTTCGCAGAGAAGGCAGGTACATGCAGATATATGCAGGTACTCTCTAATTGGCCTATGTTAAATTGAGACACTTCTGCTCCTCGCGAGGTTCATTGTATCAACTCCAGGATCGACTCAGTGCATGAACATGTAGAGAAGGCCAACTTGTGTGCTTGTGTGTGTGTGTGTGTGTCTGTGTGATTGTGTGTGCCTGCATGTGTGCGTGCGTGCGGGAATTGATTTCAGACCCAGTTTTTGACCTATACACATTTGGGCTCCACATCGTAGTGCTGCGACTGCCATGTACCGATGGGACCAAGCATCCAAGAGCCAGCCGACAGACCCTTAAACTTGCAGCCCCGCAGAATGGCAATCCAATGTCTTTTGCAACGAAGCAGATATCCCATCGCCCATTCGTCTACCTTTGCATTGAATACTGCAACATATGCAGGCATCCATACATGGCCTCTTATGGTGACAACACGAGATGCAGACGTTCTGAAGATTGAAGAAGTGTTGCGTGTGGTCGCAGGTGGACCATCTGTCCTGCGAGAGAGCCAAGGCACCACGATTTCAGGATGCACCAGATCACGCAGCCATGCCACGTGTAAAGTTTGTCAGGAAGCAGCGCACACTGTGCGATCCGCTTTGGCATGCTTCCCAAGCATTGTAGTTCTAACTCTGAAAGAAGGTGCGTCCAAATTGTGTTCCAAGGTCGACTTTCGCATGGTCGATCTTCGCAAGCAGGCTTTGCTTCATCAGTGTAGACTGCTCATCTGTAGCACTCAATGCGCGTACACGGCGCAGACAGCAACTCAAACCTAAGGGATTGAGTGAGCGAGTGTCGACCTGGGGTACTCTCCGGTTCTATGACATGGGGGACGAGGGACGGCAAAAGCAATTTCGGCAAGTGCCCTTGCTGCCTAGGCCTAAACTCTATCAGTCTTTGCAGTATCTGCTTGGCATCCGTGGGGCGTTGGGCAATGCTTGTCTTGCTCATGGCATCCTCGACCTGAGTGCTCGTGCAGGCAGACACCTCCAAGGAGTTGAGGTTCCTCCTATCCCGCGTTGCCAAGGGAATGCGAAAGCTTGGCCAGGTGCGTCTGCAGATTTGAAGAGATGCTTCTTGCTGCCGGTCTACTTCATTGAAAGCTTATTTCAGCCGGCAGTTCGCACAGCGATGCATTTTTGCAGCAGATGGAATTTTTGCAATACACTTCAGGAAACCAAGTCTAGCAACGAAATTATGCAATCAGCCACGTAGCTGTTTTGAGCTTCATTGCTATCGAGTTGGGAAGGCCGATGCAAGGCTGCAGTAATCGTGAGGCCACAGTGCATCACGAAAGCAACGCGAGAACGAACTGTGTTGTCTCTCATGCAACACCTCTTCGATGATAGCGATGTAGCTCCAGAGAGTTTGCGATGGCACTCCATGGAGCGCCCAGAGCTCATCCAGCGGAGCTGAGTGCCTTGTATCAATAGCAGCGGAAGGTGATGCTACTGATCGGCACTACCACCAGCCCAGTTGTCTGCAACCTGCACTACATGAGACTGTTGTTGCAGCGACATGCTGTGATTGACTCCCGCCAGCTTTCCCATAACTCTGAAAGCATCCGAGGTGCCCTGCTGGCCATTGATCCAGGGACGAACCCTGCAGACTACTGGAGTGCTCGTCGGGGCTGGGATGTCGAGGCCAACCCGCTCCATCCCCAAATGCAACCCGGGATCAAGGTTATGCTGCCATACTTGTAGGGTACGTGAGAGGGGATGCATTTGCCGGGACTGCTATGAGCACAGATTATGCCGGAAAACGTGTGCCGTCGGTGCCGGTGTCTGCAGATTCTGCAGCTGCTAGAGACTTGATGCCACAGCCGCTTTTTGAAACATCTGCACATTCAATATTCCCCTTGAAGATGTCGGCCTCCGTCAAGTGCATGGACACCACGCCTTCCCGGACTTGACTTCAGGCCATCAAGGCAGACATTCGCATCGCCTGCCAGCCTCGTGGAGCTCTGCCGGGCCAGAGAGACGGTACCTTCTCGACATTGGCATCTGCTGTGCGTATCTTGGCTTCTCATGGAACTGCGGTATGATCTCACAGCATGTTGCCGAAACTCGCAGCTAGCAGATGCATCCCATGCGTTCGCCTTTTGAACTGTGAGTAGATGTGCCTCTGAATCTCGCTTTTGCGTACTACCTAAGACCGGTACCAATCTCATTCTTTCCCTAAAGTTTCGTGATGCTGCATAGATCATCCTTTCTCACATCTAAGGCGCACGCAGCGCTGGTGAAGGCGTGCAGCAAAGATCCTCCCAGGAAGGCGTCACGATTGACAGTGCAAGGAGAGGGAAAGGGTGTTTAGCCAGTCGTCCGCAACCATGGTTTTTGTTTCTTATGTGCTTAAATGCCCAGCCAATGACGGCCTCTGTATCGATATTTCTCGAAAGAGTCACCGTGCAGCTTGATGTTTCAGCAGCGCTTTTGATGCCATGAACTAGTGTAATATTTGTTGGCACGTACAGCATAGATGCCGTGTACAATAACTAGTGACTAGTGCGCCTGCAAAATGCCAGCTTATTGACGAAATTCAATATTATTGTTTGCAGCATCACAGTGCAACATCGATTCAAGTGTTCATCATGTTCCATCGTCATTCAGCCATCTAAGTCGAGGCTGCCAGCCGCTCAACCGTCAACCAATGCTTTGAAAAGGATTGGAACGAACACACAGACAGACAAACAGACAGGCAAACAAACAGACAGATAGATAGTTAGATAGTTGGATCTTGATATGGATACTGATATTGATGTCAGAACTGGGGGCTGCAGGGCTGGACTGGGATTGGTTTGTTCCGAAGCGCAGGTCAAACAAAGACCGGATTGCACCCGCAGATGGAGCGCCGCGAGCTGCATGGCCCGCAAACGGGCAGAAAACCTGCTCTTGGCTCCAAGGCAAGATTCTCAATTTGACTGTGACGCTGGCTGCTGGCATTGATTGAAACTGTCTGAAGGTGTTGCCTGACAAATTGCCTGACATAGACAACGAGGGTAGGCCGTACAACTTAAAGCTGGTTGTGGTCAACTTCAACAATGTCTCGACCTCATCTTCTTGCGAAAACAGAGCTTGTGCAAGCAGGCGATTTTGAGAGTCATGACTGTCTTCAAGGTCGGCACCAGTTTCGGGATGATCTTCAACGGAGATAAAGAGCCAAAGTACAACTGGGAAGGTGTTCGTCGATGTGCCTCTTGGTTGCGAGGGATGTAATCCCGGTTCCTGTGGATTCCTTGTGACTCTGACGGGTAATGTGGAAGGTCAAGGAGTTGGCCAGAAGAGGCTTCAAGATCATCGGCGTAATTTATCAAAGCTGGAAGGGATGGGATGGCGACGAGATCGTCAATGTAGTGCCTCAGGACAGTATGCAGCACTAAAGCCACCACGTTGACGCCTCTCTCTACCGGCTAACAACGTGGGGGCTGGGCTGGCCAATGGCCTGAGGGTCTCGCAGACGACCCCGAAGCCCTGCATGGGGAAACCCCTTCACCCTAAAGACGAGAGAGAGGGAGAGAGAGACGCAGGCCTTCCACTCGGGGCACCCAACAAACTTTTTTGCACAGTCGAGCCCATCCAAACAAAATGTTGGATGGGGTTGCGCACGTGCGCGCGCCGCAAGGACTGCTTGCGGTCCATACCCCGGAGCAGAGCAAAGCAAAGACGTAGTCATGTGGTTGCATTTGTTGTCGTGTGGTCGTCCAAGTCACCGCTGACATATGCGTGGGGACTCTGCCAATTGAAACCGAGCTGTGACAACAATTTCGCGGGAAGGGCGCGTAAAAGAGGCGGGGGTTGTTTCGGTGTTTAGCGTGCGGGGTCGGGGATGACAACTCGGGAAAACAAAGCTGGAGTACCCCAAAGCCGACCACTAAATAAAAGGATTGGTGGTCGGGCGGGCCGAGTCCTGCGGCGACCCCTACCATCGGCAGAGAGACAGAAGAGAGAGAGAGAGAGATAGATTGAGTCCTTCTTGTGTTGGTTACCTCGTGTTGGTATAATGCAGAAAGAAAGGGCGCTGGGAACTGTTCTTGTCGATGGTGGCGAAACAGTGGTCTGAGGTCAGCAGTATTCTACCTTATTGGTTTGCCTACTTTTTCTATGGGGGACCTTGACCAGAGCCGCCAAAGACTTGCACGTGTCAACGAACAGCCCTTCCATAGCTTAATACAGTATACCGTGCGTACTGGGGGACTAACCGGTTTTCTCACGCCGTCCCAAAGTCCCCATAACAAGTGGGGGGCCTATGAGGCCGGAGGGCCTAACCAGCCCTCCAAGCCCAGCGGAAGAAGAGAGATAGAGGGCGAGAGAGACAAGCAAGAGCGGTGAAAGAAAAAGCGAGAAAGAGGCTGGCCGAACTTCTCCAAGCGGGAGGAGGGACGCGGGGAACGCGGACCTAGCCGCTTTGGCTCAAGGCTGTCGGCCCTAGCGAAGGGGCCTCCCAAACCTTCCGAGCAAAGCAATCCCCCTGAAGGTGGCCCGGTAGTACCGGAGGCTGGGGGTGCGTTCTCCATGCGGAAAACGAGGAGTCTGGTTGCACCAGGACCCAATCCAGTATCTGCTTTCGCGACGCTAAGCTGCAGCACTCCCTCATAACAACGGGAAGAGCCTGCTGAGAGAGAAAGGGAGAGAGGGGCACGAAAGGCACAGCGGAACAATACGGGACTGGACGGAGGAGAGGCCCTGGCTTGTCTTTGCAGCAAGGCGACTGCGAAGATCCAGGGCACGGCGCTAGGAGCCAATCCAGGACCACGTGCCCATGCAAAAAACAAGACCAGGCCTGACTACCTTCTTCCTCGACTTCGCGAGCACCTATACACGAACCACAGCACAAAAAGGAAGAGACATCATGTTCCTCTACCACAGCCAGACGTGCAGGGAAAGGGCAGGGGAAAAGGACGCGATGATACGCGATGTTTCACAAGGAATCAACAGTGCAGCCCAGCAAAGCCGAGAAAACTCCCACCAGCGCAGGTGCGGCCGTACTGCGACCAGACCCAAAGCCGCCGATCACACGCAAGCGCCAATTCCACTTCACCGCGCATGAGACCCTCCTCAAGGACCGGAACACCTACACAACATACAGCAACGGCCATAGCGCAGGAGAAGAAACGACCCCGGAATGGAGCGAAACTCACGATGATGCGCGGACGAACCAAATCAAGTCATGAGAGCAGAGCAGGCTGCACATGAAAGTCTGACGGAAGAAGGCGTGGCAGGTAGGGACGGAATGCCCCCTAGAAAAGGGGCAATTCATGCACCTTCAGAACCGGAACAAGTCCCCTGGGACCACCAGACCAGCTGAACCGCCGGGCAGAGGATGCCAGGAGCCAGCGACAGCCAGCAACGTAGACGAACAAATGAAACCAGGGGGCAACGGCGTGAGGAACGACCTCCGTAAAGAAAGGAACAGACAGTCAAGAGAGGTGTGGCTAGCCCAGAGATGCAACGACAGAAGACTCGGGAAAGTCCCCGAATGATTTTGAGACAATGCAGATGAGTCACCATTTTTCATTGCACCATGTTCCTACTTGCTGTCCGCGCGACGGGCACACACCCCTGCAACGTCGGCAATAGTGCCCGCCAGTGTTGCGTGGGTTTCTTGCCACTGACAGTGATAACGTCCACTGACAGTAAGACCTCATCCGCGATCCCATAGCGTCCATGCCCGAACCGTGATGACGCCCACTAAGAGTAAGACCTCATCCGCGATCCCGAAGCATCCATGCCTGTGGCGTGATCACGCCTCCAGAGCATCCATGTTCGAAACGTAATAACCCTCACTGGGACCTCTTCCTTGATCCCAGCACATCGCCCGAACCGTGCCGCCATGATCCCAGCGCCTTGCCCAAAGCTCATCGCTGTCGCCAAAGCCTATAGGGCACATTGCTTTGTCTTGTCATCAGCTTGGGGAGGCAAACTTGTCCCAAAGCCGCAGCCCGAGAACACGGAACTGCAGTGCCTGTCGTTTAAAGCGCATGTAGTCTCACCTGGCATATAATAGATAGTGCTGCGGCACGCGCAAGAACAACATTTTGCAGCATTGTTAAGTTGGTTCAGCTCGCGGGGATTCGCCGGTCACTTAGGCCTTTAGGACAGGGCTCATGGCTAGAATGAGTATACAGACTCCATCAGCGGGAATGTTGTACAACCGCGAGCAAGCAAGCAAAGAAACAGGCACGCGGGAAAAGTAGTAACACTCGGCAACATCAGAAGGAGCATGCGTTCTCATCAGCTGGCCGCCGTTGAAAGAAAGCGACGGAAACAAAGAAAGACTGAGAGAGTCCGTTGCAGTTGGGAAAGTACAGGCATCAGGTTGAAGGGAGCACGTACTTTCGGAGGCAGGTTCTGGCAGTCCAGCTGTGCGGAGAGTGGATACAGCCGTGAAGTCTTCCTGAACACCGGCCTGCGGTGCTGCCGGAGCCAGTTGTACCTGCACTCAGACACCTACTCGTACGAGCGCACAACCCAGCTTCAGCTAACAGCACACAGGCAACGACCAAGTCCTAGCTTAAGCTGACTCAACCTGGATCGTGAGGCCGGGCAGCGCTTGTATTCCTGGGTTTCCATTACCGGGAGTTAATCTGGGTTTGAAGGCGCGGGAAAATCTAGGCTCCAGGCTCCAGGATAGCAACAAACCCAAGCGCAAAACATCCAAGCTGCAACCAATTGTCTGAGGGGGCCCATGAAGCAGTGGAGAAGCTCAACGGCGCTTGACAGGACATTCGGAGCCATTGCGAGTCTATACAAGAGACTCCCAGAATCGTCGGAGGCAACCAGAGGAGCCTACTATTAGACTGCTTGAATCAAGATTCCGGCAATGGCTGATCACGCTGCTAGCCTCGACGATCCGCAGGAGTGCTGATGACGAAATGACAATCAAGTGTGCATATCACAGAAATTGTCGCCTTCTGGACAACGATAACTATAAGGACCTTCTGATTTTGCAGCGCAGCATGATGCCACAGAGTAGTTGTTTTGGTACATCGGCTGGTTGCATCTCCTTCTCAGGACTGGCTGCATACACTGCGGAAAGCGGAAATCCGAAACTGGTATTCATTTAGCCAAGACCGCATCCACATGAAGTACTTCTTTGATTCAGAAGTTGCTTGGCTTGGTGGAAAGGCTTTGCAGTCTAGAAGCTCGTGATGACTCGCCGCAATTTAAGGTTGGTTTCTTCGAGACCTTGGATGGCAACGCTGCACGCGGGGCCAGTGAAGAGCCCGAGGAGCGCCGACCTCGCCAGGCCGCGGCCACGGCCGCTCGTCACCGTAACAGACCTTCTTGGCCTTGGCTGCCAGGGCAGAAGATGGCAGAAGGTAAGCTCAACTCATGTTTCTTGCAGAGTACAACAAGGTAAATTACTCCAGTGATGTGCAGTGCCAGGCCACGCATCCACGAATCTCTTGCCTTCAAGCCGCGTCAGGAAGTAGATGAGGGGAATATAATGGAATGTAGGGCCTTGTAGGGTTCATGCTTGTGGCTTCGAGTTGCGCACAAAGTTGCGACACGTTGCGATTGCTTTCTCTGAAGTTGCATGGATCCGACGAACCTTGTCGCCCTTGTCCCACGAGATGAGTATTGGTGCAGGTTGTCAGTGTTATCAGTGCTAAAAGCTCCCTATGCAGAGCCTTGCTGCGTTGTCTATGAGTCGATGCCATGATGTCTCACTCTCCAAAGACACTGCCAGAGCCAGCTATTTATCCTGGGTACTAAGAACTGGTAGAATCGGTAGAATAGAACTGAGTAGATGAGACTCTGTGAATTCGATTGCTTCGTCCGTAAGTGCCCAAGACATCTGATTTTCGAATTCGAGCCGAGGACGACCGGATTTGCGTTACTCCGCCAGAAGACGGCGACGGCCCGAACTCAAAGCGAGCCGCGCTCTCTAGCGCCTTGAGCATGGGCGCGCCAGCCCCCGTTCTTGTGCCGAGCCATGCCTGATTTAAGGAACCTACGGCGGAATGGAACAAGGGAATAGACAGAGTGTGTCTTATGGGCGGTTTGCAAATCATCTCTTGACTGTCAGACCACACGTCCCGAACTCTTTCCGGTTCGGCGAGTAACAGCAGTGAGGAAATTGCCTACCGGATGATCACGACAATTTGTCGTGGTTTGTGTGCATCGCAGGCCGCGTTGAGAAGTGACTACCTTGCCAGTCCACTGTAGATACTCGAGATGCAGACCGTGAACACGTGTGCACGTTTACAAAGACTAGCTCTGGAGAGAATCTGAAAACCAGCTTGAATGCTTACAGCATCTTGAAATTTTACCTTTGACAGGAAGATAGGAAAATCGCTTTGTGCTTCAACCATCCCGAAACCGAATTGCCATCGCGAGGACGGAAGCAGGCATTCGGCACCATAGAGGTCCGACGATCACGATGCCATCCGCCAATCTGGATCCATCTCAGACTGTTGATCTGACTGCAGCGGCCTCAGTCATGGCACAATGCGGCCAACCAAGCTGGACAGTGTCAAATATTGCAGCTGACCAAGTAGAGGCAGAGCTTGCGCCGAAGCGCCTATGGGCAACAAAGATGGATGTCAACACCTGCAAGGCCTGCTGTCATGTCCAGCGGCTGTCATTTCACAGTTCGTCTTTAGTGAGTGATTCTTGCAAAGGCTGGTTGGACTCCCTTGTGCACAGCCGCATCGCAGGGCAAGGTCGAGTCTGTCAAGCAGCTATTGATGCTAGGCGATGGGCTCTTCAAAGACAGTCGCGGCGTGACCCCATCTTGCAGAAGACACAAGTGCTGACCCAGAAGGTGCAGATCCAAACATCCCAAATGGGTTCGGCCATTGCCTCAGATCTTCTGCCTAAAAGGTACAACTATTCGGCTCTTGGCGACTCATGTGCATGAGAAAAGCGCAGGAGCACATCCGGTTTTCTATGCTCTACGCAATTGGAGCCTGCGTATGTTTCGGCTGCTGGTGAAGCACGGAGCAGATGTACGACGTGCAAGGCAGCACTCGCAGGGCCCGGGAGTGCTTGCGAGTGCAGTGTTGTCATCTCCGCACTATCGTTGAGTTGTCGCTTTCGCCACCGTCGGTTTTATTCGAGCATGGATCTGCTCAGGAGCGAGCGGGGAGAGTCTTTACAGGCCGGAGTGCTGCGCATTTCGTTGTCCAGATATCGTCCAGATCCTTTGAAAGTGGAAGGCTTATGCCGAGAGAAAGGTGCAACAGGCGGCGGAGTCAAGAGCCTTCGGGGCTGCCCATTTTTCAGCTGCATCGTGCCAGGCCAGGACCCACTTAATAGACCTGATTGAAATTGGGGAGATCCCTAAACTACTCTCGTTCAGGAGCTCCTGGACAAAGTTGGTATCTCGACTAAGTGAGTTCGTTGTCCTGGACTAGCAACGACACGCATGGATGCTGGTCGACCAAATGATGATGAGTTTCGCTTTAAGGTGCGCAGAAGGCAGCCAAGTTGGCTCTCGATGCTGTCGCTGAAGCGAAAGGAGCTGCGAAACGTCGCAAGCTTCGCAGCAATGGGTTGGTACCTTGTTTCAACCAGTTGCCAGTGAGGCAATACAAGCAGTTCTGTGTGGCAGTTTGATCGGCCCTACTTTGTATATCGTTATACCATTCAAGTTCGTTTCTGGCGCAAGCCATTCGAATCATGTCGAAACGGCCCTTAGCATATCTGTTAGGCATCCACCTGCTTTGAAGAACCGGCACATGCTCACCCCATGTCAAGAATCTCAAACAGTGCTTTGTCAACAGAGTGTGCGCGTAAGGCAGTTTTGCAGAATCAGCCGCTGGCCCCCGCCCCACCTATACGTATACATATACATTAATTACATATACAGTATACATAGAGAGGGAAACAGGCAGACACAGAGTGTGTCAGAAGACAGACCCACGTTTCCTAGCAGAAGAACAGTTTTGTGTATAGATATTCTTAAGGGCGACCTGGTTAGACGTACCCAATGATGAAAGTCTGTGGCTTTTGGAAACCCAGTCACCCGTCGTAGAGTTCGGGCGGTGCAACCCATCCTCTCCTTTTGAAGCATTGTGTCGTCGACGGTCATCTACCATGGACTCTTAGGGTTTGAATGCTTTTTGGGAGGAAACACGCCTTTGTCAATTGAAGTCTTTTTTCCTCTCCATCCAAAATACACGAGGCACCGGTGTTTTTCCCAAAAACACACGTCATGCGAGGGGTGACGGGGAATCTAGAAATCGCAAGGCCCCAGTGATTGCATCTATTTGATGGCTTGCTCATCGTTGTGGCAAATACATGAGAGTGTATACAAACATACGCGATCATACGCACATGCGGTTGGTTGATAGATACCCAGTATACATATGGGTAGTTCTCAAAATTATGGTCCCTTTTTGGGCACCCTCAACATTAGGTGCCGTAAAATAATCAGGACCCAGAAAGGGACCCTAATATTGACAACCACCCGTATGCACATACATGTGTATACGCACACCTATAGATAGGGAGACAACTAGGTACATATGTGTAGGAATACATGCAGAAATATAAAGAATATATATATATAGGGGTATCTGTAAGTAAGTTTCCAAAGTTTCGGCTAGGTCAGTCTAGGATTAGGAGGTTTGTCTCGCGCTCGCAAGAACTGCTCATCCGTGGCCAGATTGGCGATCAGCCCTGATTTTCGATCGTCGGCGTAGGAGAGAGAGAGAGAGAGAGAGAGAGAGAGAGAGAGAGAGAGAGAGAGAGAGAGAGAGAGAGAGAGACGCGTTCGACTTAGCAATGTCGTTCCCTCCTCCTGCTGCTGTTCTCAGTGGGGCTCTATACGCCTGCAAGCTTAATCTGGCGGCTCCACCGGCCGCTTTGGGCGACTGGGGTCGCCAGGGTCGTGGAGGCGATGATCGATCGTCGGCACGGCGATCATCATGCAGCTCACAACCCGTTCGTGGCTCAGCGGCCGGAGTTTGTGGAGCAGGCGGTGGGTGAGCAAACCCGCCCTCCCGCAACTTTCTACTGCTCCTTGGCGGCAGTCGAGCGGCTGATCGGCCCGTTTTAGAAGAGGCTGGTGGACGAGATCATGTCCAATGATGCCAGCTCGATCAATGTTCTGACTGAGCGGGATCAGGTCATGCCGCCGAACTCCGGCTACCACTGTTCGCGAACTATACTTTGGATGGGATCAAGCTTGATCCACAATTCGTGCAATTTTCAATTTCCTGTGTATGCCTGTGTGATTAACATGATACTACACACATATAATATCATATATATTATACATATATATATATATATTCTTCTTCCTCCTCGTCATCGACTTCGTCGGATTCACGATGACGTGGAGCAGGACAGTCTTGGGAGGGTGGGGGCGGTTTTTGAACTGGTTCACTGTGGGATTGTGTACAATGGGGTTTGCCGGCCCAGGACATTGGTTGGTCGCGGTCGATGACGGGGCCACAGCCCAAGAGTGCCCGTGCGGAGCTTTGGGCTTTTTAGGTAGGGCTCAGGGGTTAAGGTTTCGGCTTGGGGCTTGGTTTAGGCTTGGGGCTCGGTTTAGAGTTCAGGGCTTAGGGTTTAGTCGCTCGCAAGAGCGTTTATGCGCACGAAAGTGCGTCCTGAACCCTAAGCCCTAAGTTCCTTAAACCCTAGTCGCTCGAAAGAGCGTGCGCACGAAAGTGCGTCTTAAAGAGTCTTAAAACCTTTCTGTATTATCCTGCCCAAACCCGAAACCCTACAACCCGTAACCCTAAGCCCTTCATCGTATGTTTCTCTGTCTA